TGCCTGGAAAATTCCATGTACATTTCACTTTCATGCACTGGAGAAGGAAATGGCAACCCACTCCAGTATTCTTGCCTGGAAAATTCCATGTACAGAGGAGTCAGGTGGGTTACAGTCCATGGGGTCACAAAGAGTTGGACACAACTGAGCAAACAGGCACATAACTGTTTATAGTATTCTCTTACAATATTTTTTACAATAAAGTTAGCAGTAATGTCTCCACTTTTATTTCTAATTTTAGTTTTTTTTTAGTTTCCTTTGCCAGTCTGGTTAAAGGTTTGCCAAATTTGTTGATCTTTGCAAAGAACTGACTTTTTTATTTCATTAATTTTCTCTACATTTTCCCTTTGTTTTTTGCAAAATATTCTTGCTGGGTATAGAATTCTAGATTGACAGTTTCAAAGATGTTAATCTACTGTCATTTTGCTTGCATTATTTCCAAGCAGAAAACTGTTGTCCAAGGAGAAACAGGTAATATGTCTTTTTTCTATGCTTTTAAGATTTTCTCCTTATCCCTGACTTTAAGTGATTTGAGTATGATATGTCTTGATATAGTTTTCTTAATGTTTCTTGCACTTAGGGTTTTGTTGAGTTTCTTGGATCTATAGGATTACAGTTTGCATCAAATTTTGAAAAATTTTAGCCATGATATCCTCAATTTTGGGAGTCCTCTTATCTGTCCCTCTCCCCTCCTCTAGGGACTCCAACTACATGTATATTTAGTTGTTTGAAATTGTTTCACGTTTCACTGATGTTCTGCTCATTTTAAAACAGCTTATCTTAATTTTATTTATCTTTATTGTGACTACATATATATATTTCTCATAAAAGTTGCCACTTAAAAATGTATACGACACCATTCTTTATATATTGGAGAAAGTAACCCTTTTTGTGAGTACATGATGAAAATAAACTGTTCTCCTTATTAGGGCAAAATGAAAACAATACACATATTGTCACTATTGTCACTGTGAAGTTAAAACACATCAACTCTTTAAACAGTGGAGCTGCATCCCCTTCTAGACATAAGATCAATGTCTGATTATTGCTTTCCTTTTTTTTTTTTTGATGTTAGCAGTTGTTGAAGCCTAATGCCTACATTTGTTTATTTGCTGGGAGTTGCAAATTAATATTCAAATTATGTCTCCTTTTTTTCTTACTTATTAACAGGAATAGTTAGTAAAATAGTTAATAAAAGAGATGCTTCTGATTATCTACTACAAAATAGAAAGCTTCACAAATTTGCATGTCATCCTTGCTCAGAGAATAATCTCTGTATTGTTGCAGTTTTGGTATATGTGCTGCCAAAGTGCCATTTTAGCCAGTTTTAAGCATACAATTCAGGGGCATTAATTACATTCACATCATTGTGCAACCATCATCATGCAACTTCCAAAACTTTTTCATCACCCCACACAGAAATTCTGGACCCATTAAGCAACTTTCCTCTCCCCTTTCCCCTAGATCCGGGGAACTTCTCATCTACTTTTTGTCTCTGTGAATTGGATGGTGTTCTTTAAAGCTTCTGGGCATCACATTTTCATCTCAATTTGTTTCCAAATATGTGTCCAACTTAAACAGCTGTAAGTTGAAAATCATGATACAAAAATCGACATGAGCATAAAACCTTTAATTAGCTTTCTGTATGCAGTGCCAAACGATGAGAATAAGGTCAGTGAGAGATCATTTTTCTAGAACCACACAAGCCTCCTCTTCTCTCCCCTCTAAGACCTGGCTCCTTGGCCAGTTCCCTTCCTAAAATCAGGATTCTTCATTCATGTTAAAGTAGAAACCAGGAAGTTAATTTTTGTTACAATGTCAACTGTCAGATCAGGCACCAGCTAAGGCCTTTTTGGATGGTGGGTATCTGATTCCTCATCACTCCATTTTTGTCTCTGCTCTTTCTCAACATCCTGTTTCAAATACAGGCCATTTGTCCTCACTCTTTAGAGCAGGGCTGTTCACCTAGCATCCTGGGATGGTTTGTGGGTAAACCATTCACTGAGTCCATGAACTTCAATGGGAATGAAATGATATCTTTGTTTTCATTAACCTCTCACTAAAAACTACATTTTCAGGCTTCCCTGGTGGCTCAGTGGTAAAGGATCTGCCTGCCAATGCAGGGGACACGGGTTTGGTGGCACATCGAAGCTAAGCCGTGTGAATCTAAACAGCTAAGCCCGTGTGCCACTACTGAAGCCCGCACACCCTAGAGCCTGTATTCCACAACAAGAGACGCCACCGCAACAACAAGCCCTCGCACGGCAGCTAGGGAGCAGCCCCCTGCTCACCGCAACTGGAGAAGGCCCGCAGGCATCAGTGAAGACCCAGTGCAGCCATAAATAAAGAAATCTTAAAAAAAAACCCCAAAAACCGTACATTTCCTTCATTTAAGGAGAAACCACAGCAGTAGTAATAGCACCTGACACTTTGCCACTCGTAGAAACCAGTGATCTTTTCATATCACATCTTGGTTGTTGCAGAAACCTTGAAACATCATTTATACTCAGACTACTTTGAAATTACCTTAGTCCACAGAGGCACTGCTAGAGTTTGCTATTTAAAGTGTTAATAAACAAACACATATAATACACATCACGTGTTAAAAAGATATTTTGATTACTTTTTGATTACATTTAATATTTCAACTGAATTTCAGTATAGTTGGTTTTCTTTGCAAGATGACATATTTTACTTCATGAGTTTTAAAAAATATTTTGAACCTGTGCAGGGGTCCCTACCCTTCCACCAGACTGCCAAGAGGTCTAAGGCACAAAAAAAGAGATTAAGAACCCCTGGTCTTTGGGGGGCACTGCAGAAAACTTCCTACTTGCAGGATGGCAGTTGAGGCCAGATGCTTCTTTTCAAAGGATTTTGGGTGAAGGATTGAGATTCATTACTCAGCATTTACAATGTTGCAACGTGTACTACTAGGCTGTCTCTTAATACTAGGCAGATAACTCTTCTAGGGCACTTCCCTAGTGGTCCAGTGGCTGGGGCTCTGTGTTCCCAAAGCAGGAGGTCTGGGTTCAATTCCTGGTTGGGGAACTAGATCCCATGTGAGGCAACTAAGTGTTGCTGGTCGGCCACTAAAGAACCCACATGTTGCCATGAAGATAGAGAACCTGGGTGCATAACTAAGATCAGGCGCAACCAAGTAAGTAAAGATTAAAAAAAAAAAAAAGAACCCGTCTAGGTGCCAGGAATTTTATTTCTTCTACCCCAAAAGGGCTCATACTTGGCTGAGTTAGCAGTGCCCGCCAGGAAAAAAAAATGTTTTGAACCATCATTGGTACACCACTTTCATTTCTGAAGGAAACTGACACCTTCGAACCATGAAACACCAGGCTTTCTATTTTGATGGGGGCACAGGTGTGGACCTGGCCCTCCTCCAGCTCACATACCACAGTTCTATGGCAGTGACCTCCTTGGAGCAGGTTCAGCCTCACGTCTGGAGACAGGACACAGATTTCTTGCTTCTTGGTCTGGCTGGTGGGTGGCTAAGGATGGGAAAACTCACCCCATGTGGTCAGGCCTGGACGCCCTCCTGGAGAGACCCTGCACTCTTGGTTTACCCTGGAGCCCTCTGAGACCTGGTTACCCTCGGTCAAGTGCACACGTCCTGATCTAGCCTCAGTGTGGATCTGCCTCTGGGTCGAGGGCCCCCTCCAAGGAGAGAGTATAGATGGCAGCAGCTTGCCTCTCCATGGCTCTGAGTGCTTCATCTTGAAGTCTCTCAGGTACACCAAGTCACCCTTCTGGGGCTCATGTAGGGGCGTGCCGAGCCCCACCTCTTACCTGAAGGAGAGCTGGGGGGTGGACAGTGATGATGTGGCCTGGGCTGGAGAGACTGACTGTCCTTCGGAGCCTCTTGAAGACAGCAAGATTTCTCTTCCCTCTCTTTAGCCATGGGGTGGGGTCTCACGTTCTCCATAGCCCCTTCCAGATGAAGCAATCCAGGCGGGTCCAGCATGGGCTGTACTGTCCTCCAAACCTCAAGCCAGGGATCCCCTGGGCCCCCATCGTCCCCACTCCCATCAATCTATGGATGGTCCTTCCTCCATCACTGGTCTCCTCCCTGTCCTGGCCCAGTTCATCACTCCCCAGGCATCACTGCAACCTCCCTGGCCTATTTTTGCCCCGTTCAACCCATCCTTGGGGCTTCCGCAGTAGCTCAGATGTAAAGAACCTACCAGCAATGTGCAAGACCCGGGTTTGATTCCTGGGCTGGGAAGATTCCCTGGAGAAAAGGAATGGCAGCCCACTCCAGTATTCTTGCCTGGGAAATCCCATGGACAGAGAAGCCTGGCAGGCTACAGTCCATGGGGTCACAAACAGTCAGACACAACTGGGCAACTAACACTTTCACTTCGACCCATCCTCCCCTCATCCTTAGGCCCCAGGCTGAAGGGTCTAAAACTGACCATCTCCACTCCCATTTCAGACTGGTTCTGGTCCCCATCAAACCCTCCATTTCTGGCCTGGCACTCAAGGCCCTCTCAACCCAGCTGGCCTCATTCTCCCGCCCCCTGCTCCCCCTTACCAGGTCCTCCCACTCACCAGGCGTAGCTCATCTGTCTGGCTGCCCACCCAGCTACCCCAGGAAGGCATCTGAAATGCTTGCTGAGGAGCAAAATCTTGATGTCGCCATCATCCGTGCAATTGCTATGGTTTCCCCAGCGTCCCACCGAGTCTGGGCTTTCTGGAAGCACCTCTTTGAGTGACAGGCTTGAGGGTCTCACCCTGGCGGTCAGACTGGAGGGCGCCCCTCTTTTCTCTTGACCTCGTGCTGCCGGGCCTCCATACCACACCCCCTGGAGGGCCCTGGGTGATGGCTGTCATCTTTTCCACCGTTCTCCCCTGAATCCACTTTAACCTTGGGGACACCTTGGGAACAGTGCCTGTTATCCATCCTGAGTGGGCACAGACCCTTTCTCTCTGTTTTATGCTCTGGGCCCCCATTTCAGCCTTTGGTGCTTTTTGCTTACTCCCCGGCCCAGGTTCCTGCTTTGAGCTCTCAGCTGGTAGATCGTTTCAGGAAGGAGGGACAGACGGCTGAAGAATGGCAGACCGCATGTTCAAGTCTCCATTCCACCCATGAGGCCACCTCCGAACCCTTCCACTGAGGCAGCAAGGATGAAGCCTCAGGCTTGGAGGTGATGTCTGGGGCTTGCCCGTTTTGCCAGGGGGGAGACCCCAGCTGATGGAGAGGCAGATGGTAGCCAAACAGAGCTCTCACCAGCCCCGTCCTCTGCCCAGCCTGACCCTCACCCCAAACCATGGCTCTATGGGATGGGGGCTTGCACTTGGCCTGGTGTAGACCCCAACCCCCCGGGGCCCAGGGGCAAAAGCACAGAGGGGTTCCAACCACAAGGATGGGGATGCCAGAAGCTGAGTTACAGGCTGTTTTGAGCACCAGCCTGGTTGGTACTCCCTCACCGTGGTGGCAGGAGTGAAGCCAGGTCACTTCCTGGTCATCGTGGGAGTAGGGACTGGGTAACTCAGGCAGCAAAGCTCTGGGTGCCTCCCAGGGGTGCTGCAGCCCCGCATATGGGGAAGGGTTTGCAGGGGCCACAGGGGTGGTCCCAGGAGGATGAACTGTCTGGGGCTCTGAGATGCACACGGATGCGGGCCCTGCAGGAGTGCTCCTGGGCAGAGGGACCATGGGTCTGTGTCTCCAGGTGGGAAGGCTGAGTTTGTACGGGGGGAGGGGGTGGGGGCTTTGGCTCAGCAGGAACAAGCATCTTCTCAGGGGGACCACTGCCCCAGGGTGGGGTGCTGGGACCTGGAGCTGGCTGGGTCTCCAGGTGGGAGCCACAGCCGGACCTCCGCCTGCAGGGAGGGCCACATGCAAGTTTGAATCTAGACCAAAGGTGAGAAACCCAGCCTCTCCCACTGCCCAGTCCCCCAGTGGGATAGTGCAGAGGATTCTTGTCCACACTGCCAGGACCTCAGTGAGGAAGCCAAGGGCCTGTTCCCTCTCCTCTCCAGGGTCCCGCTCTCACCTGGCCCCATTGTGTCACTCCTCATCTTTCCTCTGCCCTCCCCACCTCCCATTCTTACCCCCAAAGCTCAACTCCACCTCTGGCCCAGCTCTGCCAAAGCCCCCTCCCCAATCCCTGTGGGCCTCTTGGGCCCAGCGCTTTATCTCTGCACCTCCTTTCAGGTACTGCCGCCGGTTGTCTTCTGACCTCACTCGCCCAACGGGGAAGCCGGGCTCCCTGAGACACAGCTGGGTGGTGGACTCTCCCCAGGGAGCCGGTGTGCGGCGCCCCCTCCTCCCCGCCAGGCCCGGGAGGAGCGGGGGCCGGGCAAGGACGACAGGAGAGCCAGGTGCAGTCCCTAAAACAGGCTCTTTAATAACATTATGTCTTCACTGAAGAGCTTCGCTTTTCCCACCCAGCGCCGGGCGGGGCGGGGCGGGGCCGGCAGGGTCCAGCGTTGGACGCCTGTGGGCCATCGACCGTGGTCGGGGGGCGGGTCCGGTGGCCCCAGGGCCTTGGCGCCGGCGAGCCCGCCTAGTAGAAGGAGTATTGGTTCTACCACCAGCGTGCAGGCAGGAGCCAGCGCCCCAGGAATGGGTGACCTAGCATCACACAGGGAGGCCCAGACCCCAGATCCCGCGCTGCTAGTTCCAGCCCACCTCCTAGAGAAAGTCCTGGGTATAGGCGGCTGTGGCTCAGACGATAAAGAAATTCGCCTGCAAATGCAGGAGACACGAGTTCGATCCCTGGTCGGGAAGATCCCCTGGAGGAGGGCATGGCAACCCCACTCCAGTATTCTTGCCTGGAGTATTCCACGGATAGAGCCGCCTGGCGGGCTACAGTCCACGGGGTCACAAAGAGTCGGACACGACTGACATTTTGCATTTTCCATAGGTGCGGCGGACACACCAACGCGGAATCCGCGTGCCCCGCACCTTCACTCACCTCTCCCAGGCTGCCTTCTTTACCAGCTCGGCGCTCAGCCCCACCCGTGCGGGATCTAAGGGACTCCACCCACTTCCGGGATGCCCGCGGGCGCCCCCTTCCGCCCGCCAGGAATTTACTCCCGACACGGATCCGCTGGGGCAGTCTCTTTCCCGCCCATCCGGTTGGTCCAGGTGGCTTACAACAGGTACCAGACCTGGCTGGTGCACTTCCCGCGGGGGCTAGCAGGGTGACGTCCTCTCCCACTGCCCACCCATCTGTCTGCCTGGGCGGGGTTAGGGGAGTCTTACCAGGCGGGGGGCCCTGGGCCCGCACATAGCTACGGAGGGTGATGTCGGCAGAGCCCCCGGACTCCAGCGGGATGGGGTGGGTGTGGAAGTGGCGGAGCATGTCGAGCACAGACTGGAACCACAGGTGTTGCACGTGGCACTGCCCGTGGCCGTTCAAGGACAGGCGCAGGTGCTGTGGACAGAGATGGGTGTGGTCAGTGGGGGGGAGGCAGGGGTGTCTTGGGTCCGCCCCCTGCTTGGCAAGTGCCTCTGAAGGTCAGGGGGAGGGCCAGGTCTCACAGAGGCCATATGCGGCCTCAGAGCGAGGGCCTCTCACCCGGGAGCCCCATCTCGGGAGGGGGAGGGTCACGCCGGTGGCGGGGATGGGCATGAGGGCCAGGGCCGGGCAGGGGCTGGAGGGGGGGATGCATTCGTCCCTATACAGGGAGCACCTGCATCAGGGCCTTCACGCACCCACTTCATCCCTAGTCCCCGGAGGCCCTAGAAAGCAGAGATTCCGTGTTTTGTTTGTATTAATTGCTCAGTCGTGTCCGACTCTTTGTGACCCCATGGACTGTAGCCGGGAGGCTCCTCTGTCCACGGGATTCTCCAGGCAAAATGCTCGAGTGAGGTAGCCATTCCCTTCTCCAGAGAATCTTCCTGACCCAGCGACGGAACCTGGGTCCCCTGCATTGCAGGTGGATTCTTTACTGTCTGAGCTATCAGGGAAGCCCAGAGATTCCGTGTTAGAGATGGGGAAACCGAGGCACGGGGGGGGACCTCACCCACAGCCACTGGCATTGAGCTAAGAAGAGAACTCATGTTGGGGTGATTCTCCCAGCCCAGCTAAGGGTCTGCTGGCCTCCCTTGCCCAGCTAAGGTCCAGAAGGCTGGAAGCAACCCCAGGCTGATTTGGGGGGAGGGTGGCCACAGGTGCCACTCATCCAAGCTGGTGGGGGGGAAGTGGGAGGAGCCCGGGGAACTGGGCCCACCTGGGCCAGGCACCGCAGGGAGAGAGAGGGGCCCCAGGCGTGTGGTCTTGAGTGGTGGGTGAGCCACAGGGCTCTGACTTCAGCCGGTTTTTGCTCCATGTGTATCCCACACGGAGAAGAGTGGCTGTCCCTGGGGTGTATGTGGCAAGAAGGGGGGTGACAGGAGGGTTTCAGGGTATGCCTGTGATGGGGAGCTGGCCTGGGCACCTATGAACAGGAGAGAGAAGCCCTGGTGGGGAGGGAAGTGTTCCATGGTGGGGCCGGCGCTGCCCAGGGAGCCGGGGGCCGGGGTGGGTGGGGTGCGGTCTGAGCCGTGCCAGCCCATGCTTGGGACGTTGGCCCAGTGCAGGCCTGGAGTGGGAGTCCTGGGGTGCCCCCTTCTCTGGCGGGGACTGACGGGAACTGTGTCCTGGGAGGAGCCAAGGCTGGGTCTGTTTCCTTATCGGAAACTTGAGAAGAAGGGGGTTGAGGTTCCTGCCCACTCTAACCATCCCTGCCCCCCAACAATCACTGGACTTTCTGTCGTTTTTTGCCTTTGCGCCTTAGGCATTATTAGCACACAGTGCCCTTCCTCCAGAGCCTGCCATCTGGGCTTGGCCCTGCCCTGTCTGAACCACCCTTTCACTAGTCTTCACCTCGAGGACTCCCCATCCATCGAGTGTCTCAGGGCAAGCTCCTTTCCTACTCTGGCTGGTGGGGTCAGGAGCCTCCTGGTGCCCTCTGCCCCCCAAAGCCCTCTTGCCCAACTCCTCCTGCCTGGTTCTCTGGGGCCCACTGTGTGGTTCCCTGCCACACCCCATGGACTGGTCTGAGCACAGGCCTGGCCCGGACTGGCACCCAGGAGGGGCTGGTGAGCTGTGCTGAGCAGAGAAGAGGGGCTGTGTGGGGTGGGAGGGGCGCTGGTTGACCCCAGCCCCTGTATTCAGGTGGCTCCAGGTGGAGACCCTCAGAAGCCCCAGTGCCACGTGATCCCCAATGCACAGGGTCAAAGCCAGACCCTCAGAAGGGCCCAGCCTCCTGTGGGTTCAGCCATAGGCAGGACCCCATCGGCTCGTGGAGAAGCCACAGCTGGGGCAGCCTGCAGCCCCAGGAGGGAGGCGGGTGACCGGAAGCACAGCCAGGAGGCCTGGCCCGTGGGAAGCCATGCCGCCCGCACCCCCAAGGAGCCTACTGCCCAGCATGGGTGCAGCCTCAGGGCCCCCCCAGGCTCCCCCACCGACCCCGGGCTGGAGGCTTCCCCTGTGTGCGCCCCCCAGCCCCACTTCCCCAACTTGCCTTGGCCTTGCCCTGGAAGTTGAAGGTCAGCACGTACTCCCCGGGCCGGGTCTCACTTTGGCGGATCACAAAGAGGCCGTGGTTCCGGGGCCCACCTGCCAGCACCAGCTGAGCTGCCTTGACCCGCGACAGCGTCCCGTGGAACCAGGGGTAGTCGGAGAGCTCCAGCTCGGCCTCGGCCTGGGCCTCTGGCTCTGCTGTCTCCTCCGCTGCAGAGAAGGGGACAGAATGAGGGGCGTGGGGACGGAGGGGCCGCCAGAAGGAGAACACCGATGGGTCATCTCGATCAGCTTGTTGGGGTTTTGCAGGTAAGATGCTCTTTGAATAACTGAGAACGAGGCATGGAGCTGACCTGGCCCACTAAATGTATCAGGTAAACTGAGGCACAGAGAGGAGAAAATGGTAGCCTGAGAGGGTAGACTTAAACTGACAAGTCTGGTTTAGCAAAGAGCTTAATGATAAGAATGTATCAAATGAGGGAATGGGAGCCTCTTGTCTCATTAATAGCAAGGAGCCAATGGTGTCTGTTCTCATTCAAGAGATATTAAACGTCCTTGCACCTCATGAACCAGTAACGAAAGTTACTGGTGCAGACTTCAGGCTATCTGCTTGTATGTATAACATCAGAAGATGCTTATTTCACAATCACTGAGCAGTTTGCTCTGGAAAAAATTGGTAGCGTTGCTTAATTTCCTGGGGTCACCCTCTTAAGTCAGCAACAAACTTGGGAACAAATCAAGTGTCTTTGTCCCCATCCCCCTGGTTCTGACCCTGGGAACCCCTTTCCGTGAGAGTTTTCTACTTAAACCGGGGCCCATGGGAGGGGTCAGGCTCCTGGCCGGGCCCGCAAAAGCCAAAACTACCGAATTGCTGTGCAAAGGACCCAGGGGGATGAAAGGTCACAGGTTCGGAGGCTCGGGAAGGGCTTGGGAGGGGCCTGCGGGCTGGGCGGGGCCCCGGGAGGGGGGCAGGAAGGGCAGGGCCCCACTGCACCTGTGTTGTTGCTGCCGCTGCCGCCCGGGGACTCCAGGGTCTCCAGGAAGGTCTCCAACGGGACGTGGACCAGGGATTCTCCGACAGCCTCTCGAGAGCGGCTGTGTGGGGCTGTCACCACGGCTGCCGTTGTCTCTGGGGGCCGGGGCAGGTCCACTGCTGGAGAAGCGGCAGGTAAGAAACGTGTGTGTCTGTCAGGCCACCTTGAAGCAACCGCCGCCTCCAGCACTGCCCTCCACTGCTCCAGCCGGCTCTGTGCCCACCTACCCTCCGTCAGGAGCTCACAGCTGCAGGAGGCCACGCGGCTGGCCAGACAGCCTCCCCGGGCACAGGAGGGCTCCGCGTCTTCCTCGCTGTCCCTGTGAGGCAAGAAAGCCCAACCGTGTCTGGCCGCGGGACTCTTGACTCCGACCGTGGTCTGCTCACAGAGCCAGGCAGAGGCTGACTGTCCCGCGGCCAGCATCTGCTCTGTCTGGCTCGCCTGGGCCCCTCTGCCTCCGTGTCCCCGCGATCACACCCTCGGCTTGTTCAGTGGCCACCACGTGAGTGACCGGGCCATATGGACAGGTCTCCAAGTGGGCACAGCCATCCCCTAACCAAGAGAGGCTGGCCTCGAGGATCCCACCTAGGACCTCCTCTGGGGGCGGGACACGGGTGGGCGGGGCCTGTGCCGGCCCCGCCCCTCCCTCCCCTCCCCCAGGCCTTTGTCTCCCCAGCTGTGTCGGCTCTAAAACACCCGCAAAGTGAGGCTCACCTTCACGGGGGCGAGGCAAAGAGTGTGCGGAGCAGATGGCTGGGAGGGTGGCAGGGGAGGGATTAGAACCACTTCGGGGATGGGGGGGCGGCGCCTGGGAGGCGCTCCGGACTTTAATTGTGCTTCCTTAAATGAAGCTGTTAATTAGAAAGCAGCAGCCCCTCCCCCCGGGGCTTGGCTCACCCCATTAGCCGGGGGAGCCGCTGCCAACCGCTCAGCCGGCCGCCCTGCCCGCCCCTCCTACTCCTGGCCTGGGGAACCTCTCCCGGATGGCGCAGCCGGCCTCCCTGCTGTCCTTCTGCCCCCGGTTTATTACTAGCCATGGCTCCCTGCTGGCCAGACCTCCCCGCTTTCTCGGCTCTCTCTCGCTGAAGGCCCGGCCTCTTTAGCTCTAACTCCAGCCACCCGAGGGCGCTGACATTCCCCGCGAGTCCGAGGCCTTGGCGCTCCTTCACCGCCCTCCTCCGCCCCCAGCCCCCTCTGCCTGTCTCAGGCCCCCCTTTCTTTAAGCCGCAGAGAAAGGGCCCCCCTACCACTACAGCGTCTCTGAACCCCAGGACTGGATTGGGGGGCCGCCCCTTTGGTCCTCCATCCCGGGCCCTTTGGGCTCACCGCGTCACTACCCATCTATCATCAATCTCCGCTTGCTTTCAGCCTCCCCTGGGAGTGAGAACAAGATGATTCAACTGTCCTCCAGGCCCCCGGACCCTGAACCAACAGAGCCTGCTGGGACTGGAGGTTTGGGGACAGGGAGGGTCCCGGCCAGCACCCACCTGGATTGCACTGCCGTGAGAAGGGCCCATTTCTCAAGCTCAACCCCCCCCCCCACCAGGAGGCCGTGTTGGCTGGGTAAAGGCTGGGGTTGGGGTGGGAGAAGGGCATGACAATCCTCAGTCTGTGGGGGGCCAGCAGGCCCAGCCCTGAGTGGTGGGCTCACCCGCCTTTGCACCTGGAACTCCGCCTCTGCGGCCACGCCCCAGCCTCCAGAAGGGAAGCAGGAAGAGAAAGTCCGACCCAGTGGGTGATCAGGCACACACACTGTCTGATGAACTCTTCCCAACAACCCCGGGAGAGAGAGGCGAGACTTTCCCCATTGTACAGATGGGAAGACTGAGGTTCGGAGAGGTCTGCTATGTGGCTCAGTCACACAAGCGCTCAGTGGTGGTGTTGGGACCCAAACCCAGATCTCTAATGCCAAGGCCTGGCCTCTGAGTTTCTTGTTTAGTAAAGAGCAGTGGGATTCCCATCCTGTCAGAGCTTGGAACTGACTTCCACCCTGCTCTGAACTGATCGGGAAACTGAGGCCCAGAGTGGGCCCGGCAGGTGGTTGCCGTGGGACTCCTGAGCCTACTCAGAGACACAGAGGCCACCTGGCTGTCAGGAGCAAAGCTCTGACCTATCTCAGCCAGAAGATGAGAGAGCCAGGCAGGGAGGGGCCGTGTCCTCAGCCCCCAGACTGGGTGACTCAGGGTCTGGGGTTGGCAAATGTTTGTTAAATGAATAAAGGAGTTCATGATTAAACAAACAGGGCCGAGGAAAAACATAAACCCAACTGGGCCACTGGAGAGGAGGCGGGGCGGCTGGGGAGGGGGGCGCCCCTCCATGCAGCTTCGGGTGGGTGGAACCAGGCCTCTTTGGGGACTTGGCCTCACAAACACCCTCTGATTCTCCAAAGAGGCTCAGGGCCACAGCCCTGGCAGCCCAGAGCCATGTCCTCAGCAACCCGAGCAGGCCACCCCGGCGATGCGGGGCCTGGGAAAAGGACGGGCAGCCCCCAGACTCACTGGGGTGCCTCCCTGGCCACCCTCAGGGCCTTTGTGCCATTGGTGGGGCCGGGCGGGTTCCCACACTCCAGGGCTAGTGACAGGGGCATTTGCATAACCGCAGCAGGCTGGCTACCAGTTCCTGCCTGTGGGGTGGATGCAGCGCGGGACTCCAGTGGGGGAAGGGGGGAGGGAGGAAGTGAAACTCAGGTCCTCCCCCCGGCCTAGGAGGAAATGGGAATGGGGACCCACTTGGTGGACGACACCTGGGCCACTTGGCTCTGGAGCTCGGGCCAGGATTCATGTCCTAGCTGTGTGCTTGACATCTGTGGAGGGTCCTCGGACCCCCACCCCCCAATCTGGGGCTCCCTGCCCCCACCCTGCTGCTGGCCCTTCACCCTCACCCCCACGAGGGGTCTTCGGGGTCGGGGTGAGGCTCACCTTGAGCACGAATGTGTTGTCCTTCTCTGGCATCTCCAGGGGCATGGTGGTACGGACCTCGATGATGGCCGACAGAGGGATGCTGACTTTGGGCCTGGAGGCCTGACGAAGGGGCGGTGAGAGAGTGGCCCCAGGGCCTCCTGAAGTCCTCTCTCCCCTCCCCCACTCCCAGAGGTCAGAGCTGCCCCCAGCTGAGGATGCCAGGCAGCCCTGGGGTGGAGGTGTCCCAATCCCCATTTCACAGATGGGTAAGTTGAGGGTGTTCCTGGGAAATGGAGGGACATCCCCACATAGTCACAGACAGAGCTGGGACTGACATGGGTCTCCCACCTCCGAGCTCTGAGAGGGGCAAGCTCTGCCCCGGTCACCCTTCCGCCCAGCACACCCACCAGATCTGTGGTTTTTACATTTTTCACCTTGACCTATAGTAAGAAATACATCTGACATGGTGACCCAGTACACACACCTAGGTAAAAATATCTCTGAGACACACGTTTCACCGGATAATATTTACTCTGACTGTGTGTGATGGAGTGTGACATTTTCTATTCTATTCTAGTTCATTTAAAAAAAAAAAAAATTTGTCTCCTCCTTCAGATTAGATTTACCACAGTACAGGGTTGGAGACCCTGAGGCGGACCGGGATTCCTGGAATCGGGCAGGGCCGTGTCTCCAGGTGGAAGAAAAGAGGCCAGTGTGAGATTTGACCAAGGTGAGCTGGCAGGACTCCCCAGGAGGGCCGCTCTGTGCCTGCCCCCCCCCGCCCCCCCGTCTCCTGGCCCTGGCCCTGAGGCCCCCGGGCTGGCCTGAGACAGATTCCTGGCAGAGCTTGAGCTCCGGGACAGGGACTTCTCTTAGGAGGAAAGGGAAGGGCCCCACGTTGGGTGGGCAGGCGGGTGGGGGTTCCTGGCAGTGCTGGCTGCCGTCCAGTGGGCGTCAGGCTGGGCTCGGGGTGGTGACTGCGGGCTCGCTGACCACAGCAGGCCCTCGTGCCAGCCGGCCGGGCGGGGCCGCAGTCCTGGAGCGGGTGGAACAGACAGGTCCAGAGAGAAAAGCCGGACTGGGCTCCTGCTGGCCAGAGGCGCTGAATACTCCGCCTGGCCTTGGAGGCCCGTCTGCCTTTCCATTTGCTCCGGCTCACTGTTCCCACTTGCGTGGATGGAACTATCAGCCTGTTTCACGCCCCAAGTGAAAGTGTTAACTGCTCAGTCGTGTCTGACTCTTTGCGACCCCAGGGACTGTGGCCCGCCAGGCTCCTCCATCCACGGGACTTCCCAGGCAAGAATACTAGAGTGGGCTGCTATTTCCTTCTCCAGATGATCCCAGGCCTTGGCTTAGGCAGCCTGAGTCTCCAGCAATGCCTGTCTTGGGGCCCTGTCCACCGGTCAACACTTCTGCAGCCGAGGCTTCTCCTCCTCGGCGCCCCCAGAGCATCCTGCACTAACTCCATTGAGGTTGACCCTCCAGCCCAGCAAATACCAGCTTCCTGGTGGTTCCCCGATGGCAGGGGGCCAGCAACATTGCTTCCTGGGGTCAGGCCTAGGGCTATGAGGGGACCTGGGGTCCAGGAGACTTTTCCTGCAGGGCGGGTGAGGGAGCTGGGGGGTCTGACAGAAGGGGCTGTATGAAAGGGCACTCTGAGGGTCCCGGAAACAGTCCCTGAGCCTGCAGACCCCAAGCCCCCATCTGCTCCAAGGGTGCAGCTAGGCCTCCAGGGGCGAGAGGAGGAAGAGCTCTGGACCATGGGTGGGTGAACAGGACTCAAAGGCGGGAGGAGTGTCAGCCGGGGCTTCCTGTGGGGCGCATACATCCTAGACCAAACTCATCTGGGAAACAGGATCTGACCCCTCGCCAGGCCTGCTCCCCCTTCCCACGAAGTCGCTCCTGAATTTGCAAATATTTGCATGAAAAACAGAGGGTCTGAGGCCAGATCAGGGGATAGGAACCCACTGGCCTTTCTCAGAGGTTGGGAGGGTGATCTCTCAGAGGTTGGGAACGTGGCCCCCCAGGAACCCTGCCCTCTGCCAGCGGTGAGCTGTGGGCTCAGGAGGGGCTCACGCAGGGGGCACCAGCTGTTGCATCCCCTCCCTCGAGGGCAGCTATTTTCAGTCGGGCAGCTGTGGCTGCCACTCAGGGTGAAGAGGCGCTCAGGCCCTGCCCTGTAGGTGACCCTGGGCAAGTCCCATCCCGCCTCCCACCCTCACTGGGCCTCGGTCTCCCTGTCTGATGAGCGGTGGCGTTGGGCTTAGTGGTCTGTGCTTCTCTCAGGGACCTAAAGGTGGGGTCTGGGCAGGCAGAAAGCCCTTGGGAAGCCTGGGGGGTCCTGGGACTTGGAGAGAAAGTGCTTCAGAGAGTAGTGTGTCCCCCTAGGAAATCACCTCTCCTATGGCTCATGGGCCCCATACCTTGGGGAGCCCACCCCATCCACCTCCAGGANCACTCTCTCTCCAAACAGCAGCCTCAGGGAACCCCAAGGTCATTCCTGGGGCTGGCGCAGGAGGCCGGGATGACAGGTGCTTTCAAGTAGGGTCCTTAATGAGCCTCCAGTGACCCTCTTCTGAGGGTCCCTAAAGTTTGGAGGACAGGAAAAAGTCATGCACAGTCCTCTTGGCGCTACCCTTGAAATTTGCCAAGAACACCACTCCTCCTCCACTCACTGCCATCCAGGCTGCTGTCCAGGGACCCAAGCAACCCCTTCTCCAACAGCAGTATTTTAGCAGCCTCTTCACTGCCCTCCCTCTGTGCCCCCCCTGGAAATTGATCTTATCCCCCATAGCTTGTTCTCCACCCAGAAACCCAGTCATCATTTCTAAAACGAAAGACACATCAGGCCCTCTCCTGCTCAGAACCCTGCAATGGCTCCCGCTCCATCAGAGAAAAAGCCACTGGCCCCCCACACCTCCCGTGACCTGCCTCCATCTGACTCCCCGTGTTTATCTCCCACAACTCTACCTGTTGCCCACTCTGCTCAGGTCCCACCCGAGCCCCACCCCAGGGCCTCTGCACTTGCGATTTTCTCTTGAACATGCCTGGAATGTCCTTTCCCTCACACTGCCTCATGTCCTCCAGGTTTCTGCTCAAATACCATCTTGCCTGATAGCTTTTCTCGACCATCACTCTATTTAGAACAAGAAGGTCTCAGGACTTCCCTGGTGGCCCAGTGGTTAAGACCTCATACTCCCTCTGCAGGAGGTGTGGGCTGGCTCCCTAGTCAGGGAACTAGGATCCTGTGTGCTTACTTTTCTGCAGTGTGTATCCCCATCTCATGCTGTTTATCCATTTACTTGGCTGTGTTGTCTCCCAGGCACCCCAGCCCATCCCGCCCTGCACCACACCCTCCCCTGAAAATGCCACCCCCACGAGGCAGCAGTCTTGACATCTTCTAAGTGGCTGTGTCCCTAGTGTTGGGCATGTGGCAGGCACTCAGTCAACACTGAATGAATGAATGAACGGATGAATGTGTTCAACACACCAGGCAAGCCACAGCTGTCACTGCCCAAGCCCTCACATGGGGCCAGAGAACACACAGCTTGTTAGTGACAAGTCTGGGATTCTCACGCTGACTCAGAGACTTCGAGGGTCATCTCCCAGTGTGGATCCAATATGACTAGCTTTTCACACTGGCCTGGAAGGTGCTGCCTCTTCATACTTCTTACCATTATGGTGGACTGACTACCTTCTCTAATTGTTCCTCCAGTGTGTGTGTGTGTGTGTGTGTGTGTGTGTGCACGCGTGCTCAGTTGTGTCTGCCTCTTATGACCCCATAGACTGTAGCCAGCTCTGTCCATCGGATCTCCCAGGCCAGAATACTGGAGTGGGTAGCCATTCCCTCCTCCAGGGGATCTTCCAAACCCAGGGATCGAACTTGGGTCTCCTGCATTGCAGGCAGATTCTTTACCATCTGAGCCACCAGGGAAGCCCTGTTTCCTCCTGAACCCCATCCAAATCGGACCTTCATGAAGAGGCCCGAATCCAGGAATCCCAGCTTCCGCCTCCTGTCCCCAGGCCCCTCCACCCTTCCTCACGCGGGGTGGCCAGACTGCATGGTGTCTAGTCATCAGAGGGCCCTGCCTCCTCATCCCTGAGTGGCACCCCTCCTGGGGGCACAGGCCATTCATTCTGTTTATGCATCTCCCCCCTGCAACAGGCCAGGGTGAAAATCACTGGAGAAAAAGTGGGGCGATGCGGACCTACCTGCCTGCCATGGGGAGCCCCTGTCTGGGGGGGGCCGGTGGGTGGAAGGGGAACTGAGACGGGGGGTTGTGCCCTCACCTGCCTTCCCAGGATCCCCACGATTCCCGGCCCGGCCCTTCCCTTGCAGCTCCTGGGAGCACCATCTCATCTGTCCTCTGGGATCCAAGCTGTGTAATTAAACGCCGGGTAAAAATAGCTCCCCTACTTCTGTGAGATCATCCGCAGGGCCTCTGGGCCATGGGGCACCGGGGGATTCCCTCTCACCTGGAGGGCGACCTTGGCCTTCGACCTGCACTCCATAACCACAGCACAGCCCCGGGGAGGCAACAGGCCACGTGAGGAGGCCACTGAGCCCGGAGGACAGTTTTCCAAACCAGCAGGTCACCTCAGAGACTTCCAGCCCGGCATTCAGGGGGAGAGGAGCAGGGAGTTAGGAAGGCTTCCTGCCAGCAAAGGGGACCAAGCGTGACCTCCCTGCAGGCATGAGCAGTAACCTGGAGGGAGACTTTTCAGGACAGGGGAGGGGCTGGGGGAGAAGGCAGGCTTGGTTCACGCTGGGCCTTTCCCCTGCCCTGCCCTGCCCTTCCTCCCTTCTCATCTGGCTAACGCCCACTCAGCCCTCAAGAATGAATTCCGGGGCCACTTCCTCCAGGAAGCCTTCCCTGACCTCCCCCTGCCTCCCCAGCCCAGGCTGAGCTCCCACAGTCCCCTCCTGTGTGTCCCGCTAGCGAGGTGTAAGGGTAGAGTGTCCCAGGCGTCTGTGTCCACCTGTCTCCCGTCTACCACAGGCACTCCTCGGGGGCAGAAGGCGGGCCTGAGTCATATACCAGGAGTGAGGGTGGGGCAGGAACACGCCTGCCACCATCACTGGGGCCTCGCCCAACCTGAGGTGAGGGGGCCTTTCTGGGGGTGGGATGGGGACACGGGGCCCTGAGGCTGAGGGTGGGAAGCCCGGCCCTGGGCTCCGAGGCCATCCAGTGACCCAGCAAGGTAGCGCTCCCAACAGGGTGCATTGATATTCCCTGTTCCACTGCGACCACCAAGAGGGTCAGACCAGGTGAGAGGGCAGCCTGGAAGGGGCTCGCCCCTTAGCAGGCAGCAGGTGAGGACGCCCCCCACCTGCTCACAGGGCAGCTGGGGGCAGGGAGAAGCCGGTCCCACAGCCTCGAGCTCAGGCATCGATCCTGTGCCCCGTGTCTTCGGCTGGCCCAGAGTCCTCTTAGCAAGGAGATGGGTGAATGCAGGGACAGGAGCTGCAGGAGAGGCTCTCGAAATGGGGAGGGGGCCCAACTGGGCCTCACTGGAGGCAGGGGCAGGACTCAGAGAGGAGTCTGCCAAGAGCAGGGGGCGACGGCCGTGCCCTGGGCAGGGGCTGGCCTGGGAAGCGCCGACACTGGCCCTGCCTTGCCCTCCCCTCCTCCCCGCCCCAACCACTTGCTGGCGGCTCAGGAGCCCATGGGCCCGATGCCCAGACCAGCAGCCCTCGATGTCCCCTGGGTCCAGCCGGGGCTGTGCAGAAGTGACAGGGGTGGTACAGCCAGGGGTAA